GGTGTTAATACTGATTCGAAGATAATCGAAATTATCTACGACTTCGAAGTTGTAACTGTCAACAAGAGATATTTCGTCTTGCCCTCGTTCACCACCAGACCCATTTACTTAGCTTTCTTATCCATTCTGGAGAAAGCATAACTAACGGCGCGTTGTTAAGCCCAATGATGTTAATATCGTCAGTATACGCCAGTAGCTGTACACTCTTATAGAAGATTCTTGGTTTAGTTCCACAGGCTCGAATGTGCAAATGTATCTTGTATCAGCTGTTGCTCCTATCAATCAGAGTCCAATAGAAATGTGGGTTTAAATGAAAAGTGTTTTTCCAGAGCTCTATAAATATTTGCCAATAGTAGTACTGTAAGTCGCATTTATGTTAAATTTCATGTCAAAATATTCATCAGTGTTTGAGATACGTGTCGTTTTATGAGCTGCTAAAAGTGAGTTTTTCGTTTTTTGCGATGTCGAAATTTGTTGAGCAAAGAATTTGCATTAAATGATCATTTCGCCAAAAAATCAACCCATATCGTTCCGCAACCACCGTATTCACCTGATCTGGTGAAGCTCAAAAGACCGCTCCGGGAACACCGTTTTTATACGATAGAGGAGATTCAAGCCGCAGCGAAGACGGAACTGAAGGCCAWCCCGGAAAGTGACTACAACCAGTGTTTCGAAGATTGGAAAAGTAAATAAAGAATTTTCAAAATAAATACAATGTCACCTTATTTTTTGGGYTTTTTGCAATGTCCTACGAGAGTAATCGAGCGGTGCGGCGATGCATTACCGGTAATGCATGAGAAAGTTAAATTATACACACTTACATAGACATACTAGAATCTTAGTGAATGCTTATTTAAAAGCTAAAAACAAATTCTGCAACTTATATTTATAGGATTCTCGAACTACGGAAGGAAAAGTCGCGAGACGCAGCAAGATCTCGACGTGGCAAGGAGAACTATGAATTCTACGAATTGGCGAAAATGCTTCCTCTACCTGCGGCTATAACAAGCCAATTGGATAAGGCTTCCATTATAAGACTGACAATAAGTTATCTGAAATTAAGAGATTTCTCTGGACAGGGCGATCCACCATGGACTCGAGAGCAGTCGAGTAGTAGCAAATTAAAAAGTAAGTTGCTTTTTTAAAATGTTAAGGCGTCTGATATCTACAAGTATYTGAAACCAGAAAAATAGTACATTGTAGAAAGTACTAATTCAGCCAACTAAACTAGAGGAGWGATTTTTCCTTGATTTTAAAAGGCAAAGAAATCCGAAAAAAACTTCATTTTATTACAATATATTTTTTCTTATAACTAAACAACATAATTATAATTATTTTCTTCTGATTCGAAAAATTTGATCTTAAATAGTTTACAGTTGTCAAAATCTAAAATAAAAATTTCAAAAAAACGCAAACGTTTTAGCCAATACTGTATATATGCATATACGCATATACTATATATAATCTCATKATCATCCCACTTCGGATGGTACGTTCGAGTTCAAGTTAATCCTTAAAAGCTCTTGGCCTTATCGCTTTTCATACAATAATGTATTAATTACGAACTTATTTATTTTCATCAGGTGCTGCAATTCGCCGTAGTCCTGCCGTMGATTTATTTGAGCAACATCAAGGCACACACATATTACAGGTATGTATGGATATGTTCACAAATTTAATTGCAAGCAAATTGGTWTAGTCAAAATAATTGTTTGTCTTGTCGGTAGGAATGTGTTTTTARTAACTACATCATAGCTATGTTAAATGCTTAATACTAAGTCAACAACAGTAGCCGRCTAAAAATTTTAAACTCACGCACATTACTTTAAGAATGAAATATCTATGAAGTACCATATACATATTTATACCCTGAACAGGGTATATTAAGTTTGCCACGAAGTTTGTAACACGCAGAWGGAAGCGTCGGAGGCCGTATAAAGTATACATATATAAATGATCAGTATGTTGAGCTGAGTCGATTTAGCCATGTCCGTCTGTCTGTCTGTCCAGCCGTCTGCCCGTCCGTCTATCCGTCTGTCTGTATATWTACGAACTAGTCCCTCAGTTTTTAAGATATCGTTTTGAAATTTTGCAAACGCCATTTTCTTTTCAAGAAGCTGCACATTTGTCAGAACTGCCGATATCGGACCACTATAACATATAGCTGCGAGACAAACTGAACGATCGGAATCAAGTTCTTGTAGGGAAAGCTTTCACATTTGACAATGTATCTTCACAAATTTTGGCACAGGTTATTTTCTAGGGCAACAGTGTAATCTCCGAAAAAATTGTTCAGATCGAATTAMTATAGCATATAGCTTCCATATAAACTGAATACATAGTTACTAAAAGAAATGCACCTGTGAACGCTATATTAGCTACGGTGCAGCCGAAGTTAACGTTTTTTCTTGTTTTATTTCCAATTGTAAATATATTTTCGTTTTTTCATTTTTTATTTCTAGTCACTAGATGGATTTGCATTAGCTGTTGCGGCCGATGGACGATTTCTGTACATATCGGAAACGGTATCTATTTACTTAGGCCTCTCACAGGTAGAAATGACAGGAAGTAGCATATTCGACTACGTTCATCAGAGCGATCACGCAGAAATTGCCGAACAACTRGGGTTAAGCTTAACCAATGGTGGCATTGCAGCTGGTGGCAACGGTAGTGGTACAACTGGACTAGCGTCCCCCACATCGGGAGCGTCAGACGACGGTGTTGGTACACATGGAACGAATAACCCTGATGGTGAGTATGCTAAGCAGCATTTCTAAAAAGTTCGTTGAACCGAATAAAAGCATATGTATTTGCATTTGTACTTATGTATGTATGTACTATAATGCTTGTAAATATATACAAATATTCTAYAAAGATACAAGTCACAAATACTTGTTTACTAATATACCACAACTGTTGTCGCATATTTCAGTATCTGCACAAATGACCGTGTCCTCCACCAGCGGATACAAAGGCTACGAGCGATCGTTTTGCATTCGAATGAAATCGACACTCACCAAACGAGGCTGCCATTTCAAATCCTCCGGCTATAGGGTATGTACAAGCACACAAGCAAATATATCTCTACATAATTCTATATACATATGTATTTATTATGTGTATTTACTATATAATAACACAGGCTAATATAACATACATATGTATGTACTGTAGTGAAATTGACACTGAAATACATAAGAGGCTCCCCCTTTCCCGTTTAGTAAGTAGCTTTAGAGTTTTTGTTCTCTTTCCTTTAATAATCTATATGCAATTTTGGCATTGAGTAGAGTTGTTACTTTTAAGTTATTTTCGCTGAGGTCAAAAACAATGAGGCAAACTTTAAAGTGAAATGAATTATATCTACATATTTATATTTCACCATCCCATTACCCGCTTATGTATCTGCAGGCAAACGATCAATCGGTCAGTGGTGGTAAAAATGGTAAACCAACGGGCACGAATTATTCGGTACGTATCAATTCAAATCAGGGGCAAATTTGGCTCCATTTGTTTCTCTTTTGAGAGTAATTGATTTCCTTATACATACATACATATGTGTACATTAGAAGTCCACTAGCTCTATATATATGTATATATAACCGAAATGTGAAGTAGTGCATGCCACTTTTCGTTGATTTGAATATAAATTTTACTAACTTCTTTCTTTTTTTGTCGGTTGCTTATTGATCAGCTGTGTGATCAATTGTACACCCCTTGGCATACATATGACAAGCTTTGTATGCCGCACAATACATTTTCTAAAAGGGTGAAGTACGCCTTAATTCCTTACATACATACATATAATCGAAATATAACAAAAAAACGTGAAACCGTTAGTATTTACCAAAGTCCCAATGTTGAAAGTCAACACCATTTCTTATGTCTGACTAACATTTAGTAAGAAGTAGTAAATTGGTTTGCGAAATATTTGGTTTGATTGATCAGTTTGAATGTGGACAGGCTATCAATTATTATTTGTAGCGTTGAAATTTGATTTTTCCTTTTTCATCTTTAACTTTAAAATTATTGTTTTCGACGTAGGCATTTTCTCTTTCTATAATTTCGCTCCGAAAAATCACTGATTTGAAATTTGACAAAATGGGGGCAGTTTGAACAAAAAGTATCGAATTTGTCGACAGTTTTTCGTAAAAAAAAAAATAAGAAGATTTCAAAAAAAAAAACAAAAGCTTCCATAGCGAGGTAGAGAATGACGTTAAAATGTTCTCTCCGATTTGGAACTTTATATCTCCAAAACACTTCCTTTAAGAATGAAAACCGTTTCGAAAAACATCATTCTGAGAAAAACGCGTTTAACAATTGGAGTCGCTATTCACCGATTTTTGGTAAATTTCACACTAAGTCGTTCCCTTATGTATGTACATATGTGATAACGCATAAGCTAGATGTTAGGGCTATACTTCTAGTTTTGAGGAAAATAAGTATACTTTTACATACATATGTGCGTATGTATATGCACATATTCACCTTACTTAATACTCCTACATACAAGTAATTTCGCACAGGGCGTTCATACGAAATATGTAGTCTCATTTTGCTTTTTATTTTAACAAAACTTTAATAATAWACAATTTTCATTAAAAATTATCTAATATTTTCCCAACTTGTAAATTTATTTTCTATTCTGATACAGGTAGTTTTGCTATTGTGCAAGCTGCGACCGCAATATACGTTCTCACATACACGAAAATCTCAGCCTCCTTTGTTGGGCATGGTCGCTCTAGCGATTGCCTTGCCACCTCCTTCCGTTCATGAGATACGTCTGGAATGCGACATGTTTGTAACCCGCATCAATTTCGATTTTCGAATAGCACACTGTGAGCCACGGTAAGTTGGAGAATGCATGTTTGCTTGTTACTTATTAAAATTAGTGCTATATATGCAAATTTATATAATTATATATTACATTCATATGCAACACATGTATATAAGGTGATCCATTTCGAGGTTCCCTACTTAAAAAAACACAGAAAGTTCAAATTTAATGGTGAATGTTTATTACCATTCGAAAGATCATTCTTTGGCATTTATATTTTTGAAGATTACCTGCGACCGCGACTCAGACGGTCCATCCGTTGAGCTCATTTTSGAAGACTCATTCGAGGGTTTCGACTGGTAACTGGCGTTTCAGTCGAAACGSCATTGTYSGCATAGACTTCAGACTTTACAAATCTCCATAGAAAAGGGTCTAACGGTGTGATAACATACGTTCTTGGTGGCCAATCGACCTACCCAAAACTTGAAATTATCTCCTCAATGAAGTGTTTTCTAATAAATTCATTGACTGATGCGATGTGCAGTAAATGGCACCGTCTTGTTGAAACCAAATGTCGCCTAGATCACGAGCTTCAATTTCAGGTATCAAATAGTCGGTTATCATTGCACGATAACGGTCGCCACTGACAGTTACGTTCTCACCGGCATCGTTTTTGATGAAATATGGACCGACGATTCCACCGGCCCGCAAACCACACCAAACCGTTTTTTTTTTTTCAGAATAAAATGACAGCTCTTGAATGTCTTCARGTTGCTCCTCGTCCTAAAAGCGGCAATTCTACTTGATTACATACCCATTGATCCAGAAATGGGGCTCTCTGATAAATAGAATCTTCTTGGAACTTTTCAAGACCCATAGAGCGAAGCGGAATCACCTAAGAAGGTCGAGAGGCTTCAGTTTTTGCACAAGCTGTATTTTGTACGCTTTCAATTTAAGATCGTAACGTAAAATCCGTCAAGTCGTTTCATATGTCAGTCTGAATTGCTCCGAACGGCGCCGAATCGACTTTCCACGGTCTTCGTGTACACTCTCRGCTACGGCTGCTATATTTTCTTCACTACGTGTTGAACGTGATCGTTATATGTTCATATATAAGTATAGAGAAATTGCATGCATCTTTAGAAAATATATACTGTAATGGTTAACACTTAACTTGAATTTTCCAATCTATAAAGGGTGTCTGATTTGCTCGACTACAACCCCGAAGATCTTGTCAACAAGAGTATGTACAACCTATGTCATGCTGAGGATGCCATTCGGTTACGAAAAAGTCATATGGATCGTAAGTCCTTATCTTCGTATATCAATTTTGCTTTTGCATACTCACTTTTGCTTATGCCCTTTTCAATTCCAGTTATAGAAAAAGGTCAAGTTCTCACGGGGTACTTTCGACTGATGAACAAGAACGGTGGCTACACTTGGTTGCAAACCTGCGCAACGGTAGTTTGCAGTACAAAGAATGCTGACGAACAAAATATAATTTGCGTCAACTATGTTATTAGGTATGTTATTAGAATCACCAAATGCCGAGAAATTCAAAGTTTCTAATTACCTTAAATATTGCAGTAATCGAGAAAACGAAAATCTCATATTGGACTGCTGCCAGATGGAACCTAGTGTGGATTGTATTAAACACGAAGAGCTTGTGAGTGACAAGAACTCTGGTTCGCCTAACAGTGATGCCGCACCCGAAGGACAAGCCGGTGTTGGTGGCAATGCRAAAGACTCAACACCCAAGGCTGATGGTGATGGACACAACCAACGTTCTCGTGGACGGGGTACAAATTCCACTGTTAATACGAATTCTAGCAACTTAACTTTAGTTAAAGATAGTCCTAATTCTGTAAGTGTGGAGTTGGAAAACGGGACGAGTTCTTTACCTACAACTGTGGCCACACCAGCAGCAACCCCTACCACAACAACAAAACGCAAACGAAAAACCAAAGCATCGCTGCAAATCGAAGAGAACACGGACGTAAACACAATTAATGTTTCGGACACGGATACTCAACCGCAAACGAAAATACCTACTATAGAAAGGGAAGTGCCACGCAGCCGTTTGCCGTCAACAGTAGAACAAATCCCACAGCAGCCGCAGCAAGCGCATATTTCCCAACAACAACAGACGCAACAACAGATACAGCAGTCACAACAACAGCAAGCGCATTCTGAGGCTTCCGTGAAGGATTTGGAAAATGCTATGACAAAACACTTGCCCTCACCCGGTATAAATAGTGGCGATGCGGCGGTAATTGCCACAGATTTTAGCACAGACGCGCTATTAAAACAACAGCAACAAAACGAGAAGAGTAGCACTATACAATGGATCGGTGCGCCACACTATCAACAACCAGCGCAAATGCCTGCCACCGCGCTGCTGCGGCAACTTTATGCAAATCGAGAAAGCGTCATAAGAGCTACAGCACGTCAAACGCCGACGGGCGTCTTTTACGGTGACCAACAGGGYGGACCTTTGCCCACTCCACCAGGCAGTGAGTCGTCCTATGACAATCACCAATATCTACAACTTCATCCCGCCCATCCACAAAAGTCCTCTTCAGATGCATTCACAAACTTGGTATCCACATATGGTGGTTACCACACCTCTATCGATTATCATAATGCTATGACTCCGCCTAGTTCAGTATCTCCGCGTGACAGCAACAATACCATAAATGCAACCAAAGCAACCTCTCACAACAGTAACGGCTATGATTACACGGACTCACTCCGTGTTCAGTATTCAGCACCGAATAACGCCGGCGAAAGTAGTGGCACACCTGCACTACCGCTCAAGCCACAGCCATACTCGGCCGCAACGGCCACCATGCACCATCCCCACCCAAGTACCGACGCATCCAGCATTACATACGGCAACTTAGATCAATCACAATACTTTCCACCACATTCCAGCTTTCATTTATATCATAAAGGTACACCACCCAGTGGYTGGTACTCGACACCATCATAGGTCAGCCTTCAGAACTGCAATTTGCAGCAACAGTGGGCAACTCAGAAAGAWGAAGAACTGCATCCAAAGGAAAGTTGGGATATCGTTGGAGCACTTGGAAAGGTTGCCAGAATGTTCTTCAGTGCCCGTAGGGGTAATTAAAGAGATTGCGGTACTACTAACTCGAAAGAAAATTGCCTTGCTTGTGAAACTCACGCATGCAGCGCGGAATATAGCGGCCCAACTTAACAGTAGCGTAATATGGTTCATACATACTTATGCAAATGCAAGTATGACCAATAGAATGTAAGGAAAAAATTCTTTTTCACACTATCGTTCGAAAAGTTGTACACTTCTTCATTTCTGAAAACTTACGTGGTCGTTACGAAATATTATTATGTGTACTTACATACATACATAYATAATTTTACATATTTTGAATGACCATACATACCTATACATACAAACGGATATACCTGTGAGTGTATGTATGTATATGTGTATGTACATATATGCTTCGACTAATAACTTTTGGGAAATTCTAAATTTTTTGCATTAAATACATTATGTCTTRAAGCGTACGAATATGGTACATGCATATATGTAGGTATGTGCAACCTTATGCATGTAACTCGACCTTTGAATATTAGAACTATTTAAACATTTATTTTTAGTTAGAAAGACGTTAATCGGCTTCGTAGAGCTATAAACTCTTCGAAGTATAAATAGTTTATACACATGTACATATTTTACTGTTAAATTTTGTTTTTCTTTCCATTTGAATTTGGCTTTTTTCATACATTTCACTGTAACATGAATATTAAGAAAATCTGTAATAAAAAATAAATAATAAAATTGTAAGTAATATATGAATATGAGCACATGACACATTTGTACATTTCAGAATTTAAAATATTTATAAAATGAAATATGTGAATCAGCTAAAATTGTATATTTTTCGGATGCTATAACGTTATAACTAAGGAAATACTCGAAATGAACAATTTCCAATTATCAATGGAGAACAAATAACCAATTGCTTATATAAGACTTAGATAGTGTGCCAATAATGCAAAGACAAAAATATTATAAATTTAAGAACTTAGAAGTGCATTTTGTATTGTTATTAATTATTTAAGCTACATACTAGCGGTTTACTTAAACGTTTATATACAATTAAGGACAGATATCTGCATGTCGCAAATACAACCCTATTGACATACATATCAATAATTTTTGAATTTTGTTTCTCTTCCCGTGATGGAAGTGCACATTCCTTGCAAGTTTTGTGAATTAGTGCAATTATATGTATATTGTGGATGTATGTATGTGTATATGTACATTTGTWTACAAATGCAAGCATACTTGTGTATATGTGTATAATATATACCACCGCTCAATTTCAAATCCCATTCGATTCCCACSGCCCATTCCCAAACTTATTTCGTTCAAATGATTTTGCAACTGTTAAGACGAATGCAAGTTGGCCTGTAAATACCTACAGTATATACATATGTACACACATACATGTACATATACACTTATACCTATATAAAATATAATTCGATTGTGTGTGCATACATTTGGAGCCAGTTAAAGTAAAATAGGTAAAAAATATAGGTGGATTTGGAAAATAATAACTGCACATACATACATATACTTAAATAAAATAAATGGAAAAATTATATAAAATTACCTTAGTATCATAAAGAAGTCTCGTGCAAAAGCAATAAACTGATTTTAAGTAAGTACACACTCATTTTTTACATACATACATATGTATGTAATTAAATGCCCCAACACGACCAGTCCTCGTAATCGGACAACTTTAATAACTCCAGAGTAGAATTTAGCGGGAAACTATATAATTTTGCACTTGCAACTCAAAATCGTTTTCTTCGCGGAGTGGCCCTTTTGATGGAAATAATGTATAACTTTTAACTGTTGGGGTTTCCGAAGTTTCCAACCAACTCAACTCATGGTATAGCGTACCCCCCGGMCAGCAATGGACATGGACATATTGCGGAATCAACGTTCTAAAACCAATCATTGTTTCTATATTATGGGCAATATTCTTAAAATTCCCTGAAAAAATTAGGTTGTTTCTCTTGTTCAAAATGCAAAAATCCTATACCGAAATATGTAAAGCCATGAGAGCCACGGTAGAGGAGTACCGTGTACCATGTATGAGAGCACCCATTGCAGAATCTAGCGATATATGAACAGCTGATTCGGTCAATTTTGTTGTGAATAACCATTGTGAATTGGCGCACCTTCTGCATTCATTCTTAAAGTAACTGTAASAAATTTTTATTATTTAAATAGCAATTATAAAATTTAAGAGAAATTATAAAATCTATTTAAAACTTAGCTTTCTCAACAATTTAACGACGAAATATGCCTTTATATAAAATGACAGCCGGCAAAGGGTTACCATTATTTTTTGCGTGTCATTGCACGAGAGTAAACATGGGTTTTGGTCTGATATATTTCACAGCAATTGCAAATAATTTTCTGCGTGTGTTTGTTATTGTGCCAGTGCACCAATAGCAAATATCTGCAATTCGTGCTCCCTGCAAGGATTTTGCAAGAGCAAGAGAATACCCCTATAGTTTCGGTCCGACATATTTTACAGCCATTGTAAACATTTTTCTGCGTGTGGTTGTTGTTGTGTCATTGCTCCAATGAGAAAATTCTAAACTTCGTGCACAGGGCAATGGTTTTGCAAGAGCATGAAAATCCCCTTATGGTGTTTAAATCCTTATTGGCAACATGCAATCTATTATATTATTAAGGGGTTATCGACGAATTTCTTAACAATCGATAGCAACACGACGATTTCAATTTCCTATATCAAACCGAACAGCTGTTCCTCGATTTGTATACCTTTGTAAGAGAAAATAAGTGTAAAGTTAGTAAAAACGGACATCTAGAAAATTAAAGTAACATAACAAATATCATAATGGAAGAAGTTGATAAAATTATTGTTCAGTCGCTTAAGCAGATCGGTTGTGATATTAGTTATGATTGTACCATGGGCGATTTTACTCCAACACTTTTGGTGGACACAGTTTCAAAATGTTTACAAAAGATTCAACCATCTTCTAGATATATACCACTCACCCTGCCTGAAGGTCTTGCAATGGCGCAAAGATTCTCCATAGCTACTACATTGTCTTCAATTATATCTACGCTTAACTATCGCGCGGATATTGGATATCAAACTTTCCTATACCCCAATGAAGTAGATGTTCGGAAATTGTTAATGTTTCTTATTGAAAAAATTCCGCGCGATGAAGAAGCACCTACAACTGAAGTCGGAAATTTGCCATGTGATATAGAAATATGGAGGAAAAATATTAAAGAAACAATATTGGAAGGGTTGCACAAACCATGGACACCGCAATTCTGTAGAAATTTAGGAAACGCTCGAAATTTTGGATGTAGTGGCCAGATAACCAACTTCAAACCACATCATAACTTAATATTTTCAGTTGAAAAATCGTTATCTTCACAAAAACAGGGGCAGCATAAAACAATAACAGTTTTTCAACAAACAGCTACCCAAAAATTCGACTTAATAAGCACAATTTTACATCAGAACTCAATTGATTTATATGGAGGCAAGCCATGTAGCCACGAAGATCAACGTAAATTTGTACCAAAGCAAAATCAAACAGTGACCGCTCTGTCAAAATCGGAAAGTTTTGTCTTAAAAAATAAATTAGACTTATYACCTATTAGCAATCTTACAGAAGAGATTAAAAATTTTAAAGATCAAAACGCTAACATTTTAGCAGTACGAAAAACGTTAACAAAAAACATAAATGCGATAAAAAATGAACAAGTAGAAGCGCACAATGAATTGGAAAATATGCAAACAGAAGTCAAAATATATGAACGCGCTTGTCTTGTTTTAGATAATCCTAAAGAAAATACATCTAAACTGGAAACTCTTATTCAAAGTACTTTAGAGCGTCGAAAAAATCTGGATCAGCAATGGCAAGAATTCCGAAAGCCAATGTTGAATACTATTGAAGGTCTGAGAACTGCTAAGCATTTACTAAAAACTAAGAATGTAAAAGAGTTTCAGGAAACAATTAAACAATTAGAAATAACGTTAGAAGAAAAGAAGGCTCAACAAAAACAACTCGCCACAGAACTGAGAATGATTGCAAATGATAGGGCAGCTCCTCGTAAAGAATATATAAATAGAATATTGGAGTTTATTTCGAATATACGAAAGCAACGAAACGATATTTATAAGGTTCTAGATGACACTCGGGATTTGCAGAAACAATTAAACTCTTTATCGGCCCAATTACAGCGGCAATTCTGTTATACGGATGATTTGCTCTTTCAGACTGCCAAACACGATGTACATTCAAAAGTTGCGTACAAGCTTCTTGCCACATTGCATTCCACTTGCAATGAACTTGTTGAACTCGTTTCAAAAACAGGAAATGTAACTAATACATCACGGGAAATAGAAGTTCAGATAGATCGTGAAAAAGCAAAGAATGTAACTGTGCGTTTACAACAAATAACAGAAGACATAGAAAATTTTGGTAATTTAATTCAAAATATACGAACTGAAATTCACGATATAGAAAACGAAATTTCGAAAGCTTGAATCACAAAAGATAGTAGTTATATATAGAATGAATATTGGTGGTCATATTATTTTTAATAACATAGTCATAGACACAAAGTAATRGAAATATTCCAAACGTTACAAACATACCCTCCTAAATATTGGTATTTAATTAAAACAGTTTTATTTTAAAGATATTATAGTTCCAAGTGGAATATTTATTATTACTATATGCGCATTAAAAGATTTAAATAAACAAATATAGTTCTTTATTATTGTTATACAAGGGTTAAGTTTTTGAAAATACAAATTCACGCTTATAGAAAGAAGTACATACGTAATTTATTGTTTATTGCAATAGCATATCCTACTCTTAAAGAATATTCCAATAATAATTAAATGGTTTTAGGTTTAAYATAGAAATTTTAGGTTAATCGAACAGTTTACAAATTAATCACTCCTAACAATGTCCAAAATCATTGATACCTACACACGCTCAATGTGTGTGTGTACACTTTTGAATGTACAATTGAAACACTAAAACCATCGCTACTAATTACACTTATTTTCAATTAAAGACCAATGTTTAATTTTTCAAATAAAATAAAATATTTTGCATAATAAAAAAAAGGAAAGCCTTTTAAAAGTGGCCACTCTCCAAATACTTTTTGAAGCTTTCATAACACTCTTCCGATGTCCACTGCTCAATAATAGTATCGAATTCTTCGTCTAAAGCATTATTTATCGTTTTCAGATAATTATTAATAATAGATTTTTTCATGAAACGGTATGCCTGCAAAAAAGGAAATATAATTATAGAAGTTACAATTAATGTTRTTGAACAATAATTCATTACTTCGGTTGACATCATTGCTATT